AATAATACTACAATATAAACACTATTTTCACTAGGCAACCTATATCACAAGCTTCTTTGGATAAACATTTGGGGTTGAACTAACGCTTCTTCTTGTCGAGGTTTAAGGACAAAAAGTTCAAGTCGAGGTAGTGTGGTAGGGTGCCAAACATCAAACACCTATCCAGTGGAACCCATTTAATTCATATGGTTTATCCATTAAGGATAGTCTCATTCTTACCGAGGATAGTGTTCTTGGTCTTAATTCTCATTCCATAGTTTTTCTTAGGGACCAACGCAATTGAGGTTGAGGGGACTGAAAGTAAGGTCTAAGAAAAAATGTACACAGAAGTTGTGTTTTTGCTATGCATAGTGTTTCCAACAGACGTTGTCTTTTTATTATCAATAACAGTTCGTTCCTTCACCAAGTTAAAGGATAGTACCATTGTGCAAACATCCATATGAAAGTGTTATGGTTGGAAGGATCATTTAAAAAGTTCAACAACTTTACTGTTGAAAATTGCACCGCCATGAAGGAGGTAGTGGAAAGGAACCAAAAGTTTATCCTCAAGCAGTTTGGTTGGAGGCTGTAAGTTGAAGATAGCTAAATAAGGGAAACACCTTATACAAGTCGTAAGATCATCACCCATGCCTTTAAGGTGTAGAATTTTGAACTAGATAACTAAGTGTATGGTCTTTTGCAAAACTTTATAACTGATGCAGAATACTGAATTCGCAGTTGGGTGGGTACCTTCCTTTATAGGAAGCTTGCAGACTAATTGTGGGGAAAGAAGTGACCATTTCGCTAGAGATGCAAAGGATATTTCCTGTCAACTATCTATATTTCACAGAATTATAAACACACATTCATTCAATTAATGGCTAAAATGGTGCATGTTTATGTTTACAAAGTAATAATTAATGGGTTAGCACAATGAGAATCATATTAGCAATAAATAAAAATGCAAGAATTTAAAAGATAGAATAGTCAATGTGCATAAAAATAAAGGACAGTAATTTAAATGCATTAAATGTAAAGTTATAATCAAGATTTGGGTTCAAAGCCTTGATGTTCATCATGAGTGATGAACAAATGAACTTGTCACTACCCATTTCTTGTTTATTTGTGATTATTCAATCCATTTATGGTCAAAAGCGCAATCCAAAGCAATAAAGTCGAGTGCTTAGCCACTGGAGTTTCGAATCAGATCTGTTTTATTGATTTTTAGCTCTCTGAACCCCTGAATTGAAGTGTCGTGCGCCACAAGGGAAGTGGCGTACGCCACACATAGTGGCACTCGTCACTCACCTAGATTAGAGTGTTACAAAGTTAGAAAAAAGAGCACTCTGATTGAGGGAGAAGTGGCATACGCCACAAGTAGGGGTGTGCACCCCTTGCATTGTGGCATGCGCCACTTCTGACACAGTCAAAACTATTGGTTGTTCTCAGATTTCTCTCCCAACCAATCAACGAAATGACATTTTTCACACCAAAATGAAAGGAAAAAGACGAAGGAAAGGTTCAACGGCTCTCAAAAGTTACCTTTTTGAAAGAGACTATAGGTTTTTGAGGATTGAATGCAAGAACACCCCAAAAACTTGATTCTTGAACCAAAAGTCTTAGATGAAGATTTGATGAATGCATTTGTAGATTCTCAAATTAGCTATCGGGGAGTTTTGTTATAAAATCAATGAATCAGTACTAAAACCCAAGAGTAAATACTAGTTTCTGTTAGATCAATAGCTTGAGTTTTAAAAATAGTAGAGTTTCCTTTAGCTCTCTAAAAATTCCGCCTTTTGGCACTAATCCCAAGGCCTATTTATAGGCAAATGGGATGTGTTGCCCTAATTTTAGGGCCTAGGTGGCAAATGCCACTGGTGGGCCCCAAAATCAGGCTGGGTCCATTTTTACTGAATCGACTGGATGGCATGCAAAACGAGACTATACACCAAAAAGTGCACCAAGCGGACTCGAAGCGGTTCTCGAGCCCGATTTCGCTGCGAAACACCTAGTAATCCGAAAATTGGTCAAATATATGCATTATCTCAGCCACAGACCATCGGCCATAGAACTAGAGCAATTAGGAGTCTCAATTCAATCTTATGTTAAAAAATGTTATCATCACTAAGCTATTAGGGGCAAGAATTGAGCGTATATAGAACCAAGCGGCTCATTCCTTAGCTCAAGCTACTGGTTCTATCCCTAGTTAAGTGGAGTGGATTGCTAACCCTTTAGATTTCATTCGTGATGTATTGCTTTCTGATCTTAATAATGATTAAGTAGCTTCTTCTTCTTCAAAAAAAAAAAAAAGTTTGAAATATTAATCTTTAATTTACTTGAAAAAAATATTATCAACATTCAATAGTTAGTATTTGATGGATAACTGTTTATTATAAATGCATTTACTTAATGTTAATAGTAGGGATAATTATATCTTTAGTGTTCAAACTTTCACTTTTTTTATTTTAGTGTTTCAATGGAAACGATAATGATTGAGTGTTTAAACTATTTAAATTTTGCTAATTGGATTGCTCTGGATGACATGCCTAATCGAAAATATGATTGTGCATGAGTGGGACCCATTTTTTAATACTTGGCAGCTCATTTGGTGAAAAAGAGTTGCATTTTTGCCAAATAAGTGGAAGCTGACATGGAAATTGTGTTAAAATGCCAACTTTAACCTCCATTTGACGTTTTCCACATCACGTATACTTCTCTTCTCTCTCTATCTCTCTGAAACAGACTCATTGTCTAGTTGTTTCTCTTTCTCTTACTCATTAATGGAAGATCCATCATCAAAAGAGGTTTCAAGAGTCCTTAAATTCCTAAAAGCTCTTAAACATGCTTCTCGTGAGTGACAACTCCATCCCACTTCTAAATCTACCGATTCAAACTCACCCACCATTAAAGCTCTGTTAGAGCTCGAAACTGAGATGCTATTCTTTCTAAAGACCCAAATTTCTTTACTCTTTCTCTCTCTCTCTCTCTCTCTCTCTCTCAACCTTACTAGTCTTAGAAGTGTTATTGAATATTTATAAGAATCGCATGGTTGTAGTTTTTGAAAATAATCACTGCATCTTGACTGAATTTCACGAGTCGGTGGGTTAATTGAGTCAAAAATTCAATCTTGTATTGATCATGAAAGTATAAAGAGTTTAACAATGACGTTGAAAGAGATGTAAAGAAAGAAAATGTGGAGGTATTGGTGAGTTCGTTAATTCAGTTTGAAAACAGAGTCTCACAAGAGTTTGTGCGAGTTGCAAGATTTAATTCTCTAAATTCTCTACTTTCTCAAAAAAATTATTTGCAATAATAATAATAATAATAATAATAATAATAATAATAATAACAATTAGTTTAAACGAATTAAAGAACAACGTGTTTTGTAGTTGCAATTTTGTTTTTGTGGGTTAAGTGCTAATGAGTCTATTAATACATGCTCTTGCATCAATGGCTTCTTGGAAACCAGTCAAAGTGTTTTTTTTTTCTTTAATTAAGTTAATTAAATCACCAATAGTAGATAAGATTGAGTTAAATGGAGAAATACACAAAATTATTATTTTCTTAGATTATAAAGATTTGCAAATTATGGCGTTGACGATGAAATCCATTCTTGAAATTGGATATTTTGGTAGAATAGTGGCAACTGAAGCTATTCTTAAAGAAGGGTTGATTTTGGTAGTGATTTGATCGATATTAATGGTTTGATGAAGAGAAAGAAAGTGAAAAAATTAAAGAAAAGAAGGTTTTAGAGAGGTTTTTATTTGCAGGTTGTGATGATAAATTTGTAGTATAATTAGGGGTTGGGGGAGAGTTAAGGAAAAAGGAGAAAAGAACATTTAAGGAAGAAATATTGAGCCTGTGAAGAACGAAAACGGGGAGGTAGGTGGGGAACATTAAATGGAGGTTAATTTTGACATTTCTCACAATTTTCACATCAGCTTGGGCTTATCCAGCAAAACAATGCAGCTCTTTTTCATAAGTCAGCTGCCACGTATTAAAAGGTAAGTCCCACATATTTATAATCAAGTTTTTTATTAGCCATGTCATATGGAGACCCCAAATTATAAAAAATTTAAATAGTTTAAGCACTCCATCGTTACTGTTGTTTCCGTTGAAACAACAAAATAGTGAAAGTTTGGATACTAAAAATATAATTATCCCTTAATAGTAATATGTATCTACATGAACTATCAAAAATTTCAAATTTAAATAATTTCTACATTATAAATAAAGATATATGACATTTCCGATTAGCTAGGTCTAAAAAAAATGAAAAAGTATGGAAACAAATCAAATTAATGAAAAAATTAATTGTTAACAATTTTGTATATTTAAATCACTGTTTATTCAAATACATATATAATTATGCATTTAAAAAATGCAATACAAAATTCACATTAAGCTTTATTTATATAAATTGAAAATTAATTTAATAATTTTAAATGGATAATAAAATTTAAGTTAATAAAAATTTAAAGTTGTGGGGGAATGTAACTATGAGGAATAGTACCATTAAGCTTCAAAATTTTACATTAAAAATTAATATTTAATAATTTTAAATGGATAAATAAAATTTAATTATGGGAAGCATGTAATTAGAGATAATAAAATAGTTAAGTGGAAAAAAATGTTTTGAAAAAAATATAATTATAGAATAATATAAGGGTTAAGTTCAGACAAATTTATTATTGTCGTAGAAATGTAATTAAAGGAATAATATAAGGGTTAAGTCAGACAAATATTATTGTCGTAGAAATGTAATTAAAGAATAATATAAGGGTTAAGTCAGACAAATATTATTGTCGTAGAAATGTAATTAAAGAATAATAAAAGAATGAAAAGGGAAAATATCATTTGATAGAAATATAATTAATAAAAGTAAAATGGTTAAACTGTAAAATAACGCCGCCTATAGTATATAAAATTATAATAATAATAAGCTTTTTTTTTTTTTTAGTAAAATTAAATTTTGACTTAAAATATGCATACACATATATATGGTTCCGTGGGTTAAAATCAAATTTGTAGGGGTTGTAGCCGCAGCGAATCCATCCCACAAAATATCTCTCACGCTTCATAAACCCTTGCTTCGCCTCATTTCCTCATTTCTAAAACCCTAAATCCCTTCTTTCGTAAACAGACTTAGAAACTGGAAACATGATGAGCATAACCCTTAGACGGTCAACTTCGCAAGCCCCAAAGCGGGTTCTTGCTGCCTTAACCTCGTTCGAAACCCTCCTACACCACCAATTCTCATCGGCGGCGGCTGCTGCATCAGCCCTTGCTCTGCCCAGAAATGGCGTCCTCTCTGTTGATAGTAAACCCTTTGGGGTTACTCATAATAATAACTATAATAAATGGAGGGACTTTCATGTGAAATCAGGGCCCTTGGATTTCAAGGCTTCGCCGATGCCGCAGGCAGAGTTTGCCGTAGACGATTATGGGTACGAGGAAGAGAAGGGGAGTAATGGAAAAGGGAGTATAAGTATGAATAGCAGTGAAGAGGGGCTTGAGATTGGAAAGCTCGGGATTTCTCAACAGATTGTCTCTGCTTTGGCTCGTAGGGGTATCACTTCACTCTTTCCCATTCAGGTGATTCTATCGTCGAAACCCTTTTTTTTCCTGTTTTTTCCTTCTCCAATTTTTTGCCTGTTTCAAAATTTCAATTTCATTTTTCTTGATTTCTAGAAAGCCGTGCTGGAACCAGCAATGAAAGGAAGGGACTTGTTTGGACGGGCTAGAACAGGAACAGGGAAAACACTTGCATTTGGAATTCCCATTATGGATCAAATCATTCAGTTTAATGATAAGCACGGGTTTGTTGCTTGATCACCGTCATACATCTCTTGAATTTGGTTGCTCATGAATAGTGCTGTATATATTTTTTTTTTAATATTTTTGAATTTTGTAGAAAGGGGAGGAACCCTTTGGCACTGGTTATGGCTCCAACAAGGGAACTTGCGCGCCAAGTTGCTAAGGAGTTTACGGAGTCTGCACCCAACCTGGATACCATATGTCTTTATGGTGGTACACCGCTTGTACGTCAAATGAAGGAGCTTGATTATGGTACTGATGTTGTTGTCGGAACACCTGGCCGCATTATTGATCTGATGAAGAGAGGTTCTCTAAATCTTTCAGAGGTTCAGTTTGTTGTTCTTGACGAAGCTGATCAGATGCTTGGTGTGGGTTTTGTCGATGATATTGAGACTATATTCCAGAGGTTGCCAAAGAATCGGCAAAGCATGCTATTCTCTGCAACAATGCCAAGTTGGATTAAAAACCTTGTCAGGAATTACCTTAAAGATCCGCTTACTATTGATCTCGTGAGTGTTATATATAAAGACCGCTTACTATTGATCTCGTGAGTGTTATATATATACATATATATATATATATATATATATATATGTATATAAACAACTAATATATGTATATAAACAAACTAGATTTGTGCTCATTTTGTTAATCTTGTTCACGAAGCTTCTGGGTTTATGTTATTGCGTATTTTTGTGGGATTGTAGCTATGACTTTAGATGATATCATTTGCGTTGTTCATGATGTTTGTTACTTCTAGTTGTCCGGTATGCTTAAGATTTTTAACATCTGATCTGAATGTAGGTTGGAGATTCTGATAGGAAGCTGGCTGATGGAATTACTCTCTATAGAGTTGCCTCAGACATGTATGCAAAAGCATCAATACTTGGTCCTTTGATAACGGTATGAATCTAGAGCTTCTCTTGGTCATATATTTTTTTCCCCTGAACCTTTTATCTCTCTTTTTTTTTCTTCTTATTTGCAAATATTAAATCTTAGAGATGTTTCATGGTTACCATTGCTTTAACCGTTGTCAACCTCCATAAACTCTGAACATCAGTTGTGTTATTGTTATTTGTTAGGAACATGCCAAAGGGGGAAAGTGCATTATTTTTACTGAAACAAAACGTGAAGCTGATAGATTAGCGTATGCTATGGCAAGAAACTTTAGATGTGAGGCTTTGCATGGGGACATCTCGCAGTCTCAGAGAGAGAGGACGCTTGCAGGCTTCCGAACTGGGAATTTTAATATATTAGTTGCCACTGATGTTGCTGCTCGTGGCCTTGATGTTCCCAACGTTGATCTGGTAAATAATCATATTTTTCTTTCCTTTGTAAGCTTTGTGATATCTCTGATTGGTTCATAACGCTGTGGCAGTAGTAGCATACAAGTATTGTGGGTCCAAACATTTTTGTTGCCTTATATATTGAAATAAACTTTAATATTTCTGAATATGCTCGAAGTGCTAAAAAATTATTTTTGATTGATTTTTCATTATTACAACTAAATAGCATGACGGTAAGTAGTTTTCTTGGAAAATGGTTTCCACCAAATATTTCATAGACAAGTTATTTTCAGAGACACATTTGCCTCTTGGAAAACTCTATTCTCTCTCTCTCACTGTTCACTTTGGTTTTTTCTTTGCTTAGGTAATACATTATGCATTGCCGAACTGTTCAGAGACTTTTGTTCATCGATCTGGCCGTACTGGTCGTGCTGGCAAGAAAGGAACTGCCATTCTTATTTACACACCGGAACAATTCCGGCAAGTCAGCATGTATGAGCGGGAAATAGGATCCAGGTTTACAGAGGTTACAATCAGTTTCCTTCTCCATACTTGATTTTGTTTCTTTGTTTAACATTGTTTGTTATAGACACAAACTGATGCGGGTTATAGAATTTTCGTGTGACATATTTCAAGTGCATGAAGCCTTATGGTATTCTATATTGATTGCATTTCTTGTCCATTTCTCTCTGCATCAGGGGCAGATCTATATTGATAAAGAGGGGGGGGGGGGGGGGGGCTATATTGATAAGAGGGGGGGGGGGGGGGGGGGGGGGGGGGGGTTTCCAATCGACCCTCTTTTCTTTTCTTTTGGGGGGGGGGGGGGGGGGTTTCAATCGACCCCTCTTTCTTTCTTTTTTTGGGTATTCTATATTGACCCAATTCTCATTACAATGTGCATGACGTACAAAATAGCCTATTCTGATGATTGTCACATTTTGGGTTCGTGGTATACTGATTTCCCTTCCTGTTTCTCGCATCATAAGGATTTGTATTCATCTAGCTTAAGGTGTCTGTAATAAGTATATTTGACTATTTTGACTTTGATACTTGAGATGTATTCCTGTTCTGTGTAAATGCGGACATTGTTGTTATTATATTTCAGCTTCCTAGGATCACCGTTGAGGATGGAGGCATAGACATGAACATGGGTAATGAAGGTCGATTTGGAGGCATGAGAGATCGTCGTTTCAGTGATACAGGTTTTGGTCGATCGGGTGGTCGTGGGGATTATGGACCTAGTCGTTCTGGAGGATACAGGAGTCCTGGGTTTGGGAATTCTGGACCTGGTCGTTTTGGTTATAACAGAAACCAACCAGGGAATTTTAGTGGTTCTGGTGGTTTTGGTGAATCAAGTAGATCAGATCGTTCTGGTGGTTTTGGAAATTTTGGTTTTGGTGAATCAGGCAGATCAGATCGTTCTAGTGGTTTTGGAAGTTTTGGTTCTGGCCGTTCTAGTGGATTTGGTGATAGTAGTTCAAGCAGAACCAGTGGTGTATTCAGTGATTCTCGTTCCAGTCGATTTGGGAGCTTTGGAGACGTCAAAACTGATGATTTTAACACTGGGAAAAGACAATTCTGATTAAGTGGTAAGCCTTGTTACTCCCTCTTTTCTTCTTATTCTTTTTTTTTTTGCCCCCCTTCATGTCAGCAACTTTTTTTTCCAAATTAATATATTCTAGTTCTAAAGACACTTCTTCTGCATTGGACAAATGTGTCTGATTGATCTATGAATATTGTTCCTTTTCATATAGTTACAGCAATACATGTATTTATGTGTTTTCATTTGCATATATATCTTTTGTGGAGTCATCTCTGCAGGGATAGCATGTTTTACCATTAGGTTCTTTTAGGCATTGTATTATCAGATCTTATTGGCATTTTGCCCAACTAGATTATCAGCTCAGAAGTTGTTGATTCCTTAGATTATAAAATAAGTGAAAATGCTGATGTGAAATATGAAAGTTCATATTCCCATTTGCTCATTTTGCATAGCATGGAATTGGCAGTGTGCTTGAATATATGAATTTTATATCTTATTTGATTACCATTATTGTCTTGACACCATTTTCACTAGCGGTAAACAGAAACACAGTAATCGCAATATTTCCCTCAATGGGTGTCTGTTCGCTTTTTATTTGATAATGACACAGTATTCATAAGTCCATGATGCTGAATGAATCCTTTGATATTTTTTGAGTATCATACTTTGGTGCTTTTTCAATGCACAAGTATTTTAAAACAGTTTTGCTCATTTTTGTTTGTACATGTTATGACTATCTGCCTGCAAATGTTTTGTGTATGTTTTTGTGCATATGTTGACACAAAATGTTTAAATATTGATTAGCCAATATGCACTGTCCATACATTTTACGGTGGTGCCACTGCTCGACATCAGTGGCTTTGGATGAAAGCCCTTGTTCGAATGAATATCATCAAAACCCTTGTAATTTTTTATTTCTGACATTTAATGGCAGGTAAAAAACCACAAATTGCAGGTGGTGGAAATGGTCGCATGGAGTAAGATACAAAGAGGATTCAAGGAGGCTGCTTCCCAACATTACAAGGAATTGCTAATTTTTCTATTCATATTAATATGCAAGTAATCCGACATTTTGTTGTCTATGTATATTAGTGTTTGTTATCAAGATACTTGTTAGTATTCATATATGGAAACTAGTGCTCTCACATCTATTGTATTTCTTTAGTAAGAGTTCAGTAGATTCATTACTATTCATAATGGCTAACTGAATAAATATACTATTCAGTTTTATAATTTTAATTTTACTGGCACCTCAAATTTGGATGAAACCCTATTATGCTCCTTATTCTTGTAAATAAATTTAATTTCACACTATCAATAATAATTTTTAGGATTTTTTTTTGTATGTAATGTAGCAATTGGTTGTATGATTAGTGTAATTTTTCCATCTAAAAAAGATAGTCTACTTTCTATTTTCACACAAATTAAGAAATAGTAGTTAAAAGACGATTTACTAAAGTTATAGTACAATTTAAAATTTTAATTTCACACTTTTCATCTTAAATAATTCATAAATAATTATTATATTGAAATAATAAAAAAGAGTCAATGAGAGTTATTGAAAATAATATAAAACTTACTAAGAGTATAGTACAATTTAAGATTTAGTTATAATGCAAGAAAAAAAAAAAGTAATTAGTAGATTTCTAATATTGTAGCTCTAATAATTAATCGTCAAATATCTAAAGGGACTTTAGATAAATAGAAAATGGTTTTCTATAGCTTCGTGATCATGACTACTAGATAAGCCATCGTCAAATATTAACAATTACGATTGTAATTGTTAATCTAAAGTGGAAGGGAGCATGGAATCTAGGCAAAGTAATATGATACACATAAGTATAAATAAACATGTTATTAACTAAAGTAAAATAATAATTTAATAAAAGTAATTTAAATTAAAACAGATATTAACTAAAGTAAAATAATAATTTAATAAAAGTAATTTAAATTAAAACAGATATAAAACAACAATTATACAAAAGAAAGCTTTATTACTTACAAGAAAAGAGAGTACAATGCTTTTTGAAAGAGCAGGGTTGAGATAGCACAAGCATGTTTCTTCTTTTTCAACCTCTGCCTTTCTCATATCGTACTTCGCTATTTATAGAAGAGTATGGACTTTATTTGATTTAAAGTCCGGATAGTTATCATCTAAGAAGATAAACCTTATTTACACAAGATAAATAGGTCTAATAGAGACAAATAGGGTAGGGCCTAATACAGACAAAAGCTTGATAAGCCTAATACAGACAAAAGTTGGATGGGCCTAATATAGACAAACAACTTTACATATTCATAAGGTGACAAAAGAGCCTAATAAATCAAGCAAATATACTTGAACATATCTGAACTGGATATACTTTAATCTATCTGATTTATATCATAAGAATCGTCTTCATGGAGAGGTGAGTAGCTAGAAGCAGCTTCATTTTCATCTTCGTCGTCTTGCGATACTTGACTATTTATATCTTGTATTGTTTTCTTGAATTCTTCAATTGAATTGACAGCGACAAGAGCAGCTTGCCATTTGCTCTTATCCATTAAAAAATCTAAATTCTTTGGATTTTTCGCCAGGATTTTTCGCCAAAGGTAGATGTCGCTTAAAGCTGAAATATCTTTAAATAGCTTGAACACAGGCTTGGGTCTGGTTGTAATCTTTCCACCATTTGTTACTGAAAATTCTTACCAGCATAAGAGGAAAGGGTAGTGGTTGAACTTGTTTAACTTGATAATTCCAGGATAAGATCCATGGAATTCCAAAAATAGCTGAAAATGAGAATAATTTATCTTGTCCAAAATTGGTTAATTGTTTATCATAGAGTTCAAAGCCTTGTATAGTATCTTTGTAGTTAAAGTTTTAATTAAACATCCGAAATATTTGAACCATTCTTGAAACCAATAGGCAATTCTGTAATTGAACCTCGTGGAATCATTATGAACCACGAATGATTATGATTTCTTAAATAAAACGCATTATACCAAGCTTTTTTATAATCTTCATAGTTGAAAGAGCTTGGTGCAAAGCTTTGACTAAATTTTCTCTCAGTGTATGGATTCTAGTTCCAGTCAGAGAGAGAAAAAACCTTTTTTATTTGAATTTTGAATATAAAACCTTTTTAACATCTTCTGGATCATGAATATATTCCAGAGTTATAGAGTCTGTATCAACAAATATAAATTCATAAAACTTTCTATTTTTTGAAAGCGACTCGGGAACAAAATGGAAATTAGAAGGAAATACCTTTTGAGCGACTTCTAAAAAATTTGAACATTTGGTATATTCCTTTTAGATGTAGGTAATTGGTATTTCTATATCCTTATTAACATAAGGATAATATTTCTATATCCTTATTAACATAAGGATAATTAATTGTAGAAGATGATGATGCACCGGTAAGGGCGTCATGGTAATTGGTTGGCTTATTTATAACCGAAGTAGTTGAAGCAAGAGTTGGTATTGGTAATTGAGTTGTTGAAGGGCCAGGTAATTGAGAATAAATACTCACACTCTTTTTTCCATAATTTTCTCTTGTAATTTTATTCTTAATGGGAGTGCCCATTAAGTTTTGCAACAAATTCTTCAGATAAAGGGAAAAGCTTATTTGGTTCTATCTTTTTCTTGCAAAAATTCGCGAGTAAGAAAATCAGGTAAAGAGTTAGAAGTACCTTGGATGGCTTCAACCTCAAAATCGAAGCACGATAAAATGGCTGGCCATCGAGCGAAAATTTGTTTTGAAACAATATTTTTAACATCTTTTTCTAAAACATTTTTGGCTGCTAAGTAGTCAATTCGTAAAAGGAATTTTTTGTTAATTAAATCATCTTCAAACTTTGTAATACATAGAACTATTGAAAGCAATTCTTTTTTAATAGTTGAATAATTTTTTTGTGTATCATTCCATGCTCCAGTATGGTACCTAACTAAGGATTCAAAAGATTGATATGGTAATTTTTGTTTAAGAACACCTCCATAGCCTATATCTGAGGCGTCTGTTTCTACTATAAGAAATGAATCGGGATTTAATATAGAAAGGCAAGGAAGACTCTTAACTTTAGATTTTATGGCTTTAACAAGCTGGATATGTTTTTCAGACCAGGGATAAGAGTTTTTCCTTAACCTATTAAACAGTGGTTGACATAAGATTCGAATATCTTTCATGAAGTCAGTAACATAGTTCAGACATCCTAAAAATCTTTGTAATTGATTTTTATCAATAATTTCGTCTGGAAATTTTTCAGTAAAATTAATTGATCTGTCAATCGATTTAATAGTACCTCGAAAAATGTCATGTCCTAAAAATCTTATTTTAGTTTGAAATAGTTTAACTTTTGGAGCAGAAACAACTAAACGGTTTTGCTTAACTATATTATAAAACTTTTTCAAATGAGAAAAGGTTTTGCTTAACTATATTATAAAACTTTTTCAAATGAGAAAAGTGTTGATCAATATCATTTGAATAAATAAGCACATCGTCTATGTAAACTATTGAGGACTCATGATAATTGTTAAAGATATCATTCATAATATTTTGATATTCAGAAGGGGCATTTTTCAGACCAAATGGCATAACATTCCACTCATAATGACCAAAGGGAACATTAAAGCTAATTTTGTATCTATCAGATTCATGTATTTGTATTGCCAAAAACCTGATTTCATATCAAATTTAGAAAATATATTTACACTATGTAATCTTTTTAACAAATCTCTTTTATTTGGTATCGGATACCTAATCCATTGTAATACTTTATTTAAAGGTTTGTAATTAATAACTAACCTAGGTGCTCCTCTTTCTATTTCTGCCGCATTCTGGACATAAAAAGCATAAAAAGCTGAACAGCTCCAAGGGGACTTAGATTTTCTAATTAATCCTTTATCTAATAAATCGTTTATCTCTTTATAGCAATATTCTTGTAATTGTTTATTCATCTGTGTAGCTCGGATCTAGTTGGAATATTTTTCTCATCAAAAACTTTTATATAAGGTAAATGGATTATATGTTGTTTTCTAGACCAAAAGGCAGTTGGAATATTTGAATATACTTCTTTATTTAAAAGTTCTTCAAAGTCTTTAATTTTTTGTTGTATGTGAGTTTGTTGTAATTGATTTTCAATTCTAATAATGTTATTAATCTCTTGTTTCAAATAGCTAATATGTTTTTGTTTTTGTTCAATCAGATTTATTTCTTTATATATAGAGATATAATGTATAGTACTTAAATCCTTTTGTTTAATTGGTTGAATAAATTTAAAACATATTTGATTATTTAAAATATTTATTTTTAATCCTTCATTATCTACTTTAAAGGGATAGATTGTAGCTAAAAAGGGTGTTCCCAATATTACTCCTATAGTAAGGTTTTTAACTAGAATAAAAGGTGTTTTAAAAAACCGTCAGCACATATTTTTGCTTTTGTTAATTTATATTCTACTCTTGACTTACCACCATCAGCTGTGTATAGCCTTTCTTTAGTTTTTTCATAATATATAGTTAGAATTAATCATTCTTGTAAACATTTTTTATCTGCACCAGAGTCAACTAATGCAGTCGTAGTTAAATGAAAATCATTATTAACTACTATTTTAACTAAAACTATCCATTTCTGAAAGCTTACAGATATTACATTAATAAACTCATAGGAATGTTTCAGCCTAAATATTTATTTTCTTATTTTTCTGAGGGTTTTCCTTGAACATCTATAAATTTTATTAACTTGTTAACTGGAATAATGTCTGTTAATTTTTATTATGTTCTGCTTTAATTCTTTCTATCCTCTTTTAACTATTTTAATTTCTCCTTGTAGGTCGGACTTAAAGAAGGGCGAAAAGTTTCTTTTTATTACTATTGAACCTATTAAATATTTCTTTTAAAACTCATAGGGCTCATATTGTTTTCGTCTTTGTGTGTACACATCTTTTAGCTTTTAGTTTTAACAAATATTGTCTTTTAATGTCCTTATCTTCAATCTTATTTATACAGTTTAAAAGAAAATCTGTTTCTCTAGTAACTACGTTTATGCTATTTATTTGACACATACAGGGACCATCGCATTCACAGTTATCTATATCAGTTGAACTATCTTCTAAATAACTAGACTCTAGTTTATATAAATCTTCAGAGTTATCACTTATTTCTAAATCTGTGTCTGTATCGGTGAGAAGCAAACTCATCATTTGCTACTTTAACTTATCTGATATATCTAAATTATTTATTTTTTCTCTCATCTTGCACTGCGACTTATAGTGTCCTACCTTTCCACACTTG